ATATTTTTCGCAACCATTGGAGTGTAAGATATGCCTCAGTATTTCAGTGTATGTTTGTAAAAACAGGGATAGTCTCTCACATAACCACAATATAATTAAATTAAGAAATTTCACATTGATATAATCTGATATAATTTCCCTAATCCATGCTATATGTTCAAATTGTATCAATTGTCCTCATTTTTGCTAATATTCATGGTATTACGTGTGTGTGTGTGTGTGTGTGTGTGTGTGTGTGTGTGTGTGTGTGTGTTTATATATAGTTATAAGGTCATGGGCTCATCTTCACAGGGGTGTCCTGCCTTTGAGCAAACATGACATGAGCACCTGACCACCACCTGCAAAGGCCATTCTTGGTGTCGGCTTTGCGGCGTCTGTCCTTCACAAAGCCCCGTTCCCTTAGAGCGACAGTTCTCAACTTGAGCTGCATCGGAGTCACCAGGAGAGCTTGGACCCCACCCCCAGTTTCTGACTCCGTAAGTCTATGGGGGGCCCAAGTGTGTACATTCATAGCGAGTTCCCGGGGTGCAGATGCTGCGGGTCCCGAACCAGTGGCTCACCTGGCTCAGGGTACCGGTGGTCCGGTCCAAAGGCTGATAAATTCCAGGTGCCACATTCAGCCACCAGCTTCACAGCCAGCTACGTTGTAATCTCTGCATGTTAGGTAAATTCTTCGCTGTACATATCAGAAGTTGCCTCGAGGATTGCAGGAGATAGTGCAGGTGATGTAATACAAGTCTCCACGTGTGAAGAACTTACATGGTAGTTACTGATACTGTGGTACTAAATTCACTCAAATTCACTTTATACAATTGTGATCCAGAACATATCTGCTGAATAAAATAGATTTATCTGAAAACAATTTTCTAGAAATTGGATTTGTTATTGTTGTTGTTGAGACAGGATCTTGCTCTGTCACCCAGGCTGGAGTTCAGTGGCACCATCATAGCTCACCGCAACCTTGAACTCCTGGGCTCAAGCGATCCTCCTGCCTCAGCCTCCTGAGCGTCAGCTGGGCTAATTTTTCTATGTTTTGTAGAGATGGAGTCTTGCTCTTGCTTAGGCTGGTCTCAAACATCTAGCCTCAAGCGATGCTCCTGCCTTGGCCTCCCAGAGTGCTGGGATTACAAGTGTGAGCCACCATGCCTGGCTTAGAATTTGGATTTTTAAGAGTATATAAA